CCTGGTTCCTGGCTCCAGTCTTGGCTATTGCGGCCATTTGGGGAGTGAATCAGTGGATAGAAGATCTCTCTCTCTTTCTTTCTTTCTTTCTTTCTTTCTTTCTTTCTTTCTTTCTTTCTTTCTTTCTTTCTTTCTTTCTTTCTTTCTTTCTTTCTTTCTTTCTTTCTTTCTTTCTCTCTTTCTTTCTCTCTTTCTTTCTCTCTTTCTTTCTCTCTTTCTTTCTCTCTTTCTTTCTCTCTTTCTTTCTCTCTTTCTCTCTCTCTCTCTTTCTCTCTTTCTCTCTCTCTCTTTCTCTCTCTCTTTCTTTCTCTCTCTGTAACTCTGGCTTTCAAACAAAATAAATAATTTTTTTAAAAAGTCATTGCTTTTCTAAAGCACTTCATAGTTTTGAGCATTTTCCTGCCTTATTTAATCTTCATAAGAGCTCGGAATGCAGGCATTCGCATCATACTCATTACGACACAGGTGGAAACCCAGGCCCAGAGGCACTCAGGACGCTGTTAAGGAAAGCTGTTATGGAGCTTCCCCTTGACCCTGCGTCCGTGTGCTTCCGTATTTGTCTCTTTCCCATCATTCAGCCTGGGAGGCAGGGCCGACTTTCCAAGACGGGGATGGAGAACCTGCTTTTGCCTGAAGCCCTGGTAGCTTCCTCTCTGAGTGCCCGCAGCTCCACCTCCTGTGTTTCTGAGCGGGCTGAGGGCTGGTGTGAGCAGGTGCGCACAGCTGCACAGAGGCAATCTGCAGCGTTCTGGGTGCGTGGTGGAGCCCAAGCGGAGGGTGCTGGGCTGGGAAAGCAAGGGGAGTGGGCGGGGCACTGCCAGGCTAAGGGATTTACCCTTTATCCTGTGTGCAGTGGGGGCCTTGCAAGGCGTTTGAGGAAGAGAGTGGCAAGATGAGAGCTGGGCTTTAGGAGAGTGGGTGGGTTTAGTGTCAGTGCTGGGCCTCACCTACCTGAATGCCACAAACCTGCCTTCCCTGCCTTCCCATTCTGGGTGTAACTGCCTCCTGCAACTTGCCTGTCTGTCACTGAAGGCCATTGTCTTTCAGACCCTGTAAACTCCCTGTAGCACACAAGCTGGCTTTTTTTCCCCAAGATTTATTTTATTTATTTGAAAAGCAAAGTTAACAGAAAGAAAGGAAGAGAGAGATGTCTTCTATCTGCTGGTTCACTCCCCAAATGGCTGTAACAGCTGGGGCTGGGCCGGGCCGAAGCCAGGAGCCAGAAGGCTCTTCTGGGTCTCCTGTGTGGGTGCAGGGGCCCAGGGACTTGGGCAATTTTCCTCTGCTTTCCCAAGCGCCTTAGTAGGGAGCTGGATGGGAAGTGGAGCAGCCAGGACTCGAACTGGCACCCACATTGGGATGCCAGTGCTGCAGGGGCATCCTTACCTGCTGTACCACAACACTGGCCCTGAGCACAAGCTTCTAATTGGCAATCCAGTGACTGCAAAGCTTATCTCATAGGTGCTGAATGGAGTTGAGCCTCTTACAGTGCCAGGCAGGTGTTGTGGCATTCTTAGTGTCTGAAATCTACAGCTGAGCCAACTGATCACCCAAACCTTTTTTTTTTCCCCCCTGGATTGGCCTCCTCGTCCTTCTTTTTATGGAAAACTATTGATCTCCCCAGACTGGATCTTCTCTGTCTTATGATGGCTCCCAGCTCCCTAGCAGAGTGTGAGTGCTGCTGCCTCTAAAACTGAAAACACCTTATTTTTTTATTTTTATTTTTTGAAAGTCAGAGTTACACAGAGAGAGAAGGAGAGGCAGAGAGAGAGACAGAGAGAGAGAGAGAGAGGTCTTCCATCTGCTGGTTCACTCTCCAAATGACCACAACTGCTGGAGCTGTGCAATCCGAAGCCAGAAGCCAGGAGCTTCTTCCGGGCTTCCCATGTGGGTGCAGGGGTCCAAGGACTTGGGCCATCTTCTACTTCTATCCCAGGCCATAGCAGAGAGCTGGATTGGAAGTGGAGCAGCTGGTGTTAGAACCTGCATCCATATGGGATGCTGGCGCTTCAGCCCAGGGTGTAAACCCACTGTACCATGGTGCCGGCCCCCTTATTTTTTTTAACAATTAAAAATGTATATATTGGGGTCTGGTGTTGTGGCATAGCAGGTAAAGCCGCTACCTGCAGTACATCCCATACGGGTGCCATTTCAAGTCCTGGCTGCTCCATTTCCAATCCAGCTCTCTGCTATGGCCTGGGAAAGCAGTAGATGATGGCCTAAGTCCTTGGACCCCTGCACCCTCCATGAGAGACCTGGAGGAAGCTCCTGGCTCCTGGCTTCGAATCGGTACAACTCCGGCCATTGAGGCCATCTGGGGAGTGAACTAGCAGATGGAAGACCTCTCACTCTCTGTAACCTGTAACTCTGTCTTTCAAATAAATAAATAAATCTTTAAAAAGTATTTATTTATTATTTGAGAGGCAAATATTTACAGATACATGTGGAGAGAGCTCTCCCAACAGCTGGTTCTCTCCTTAAATGCTGGTAATGGCTGGGGCTGAGTCAGGCTGAAGCCAGGAGCCAGGAACTCAAACTAGGTCTTCCAGGTGTATGGCAGGAACCCAACTACTTGAGCCAGCACCTGCTGCTTCCCAGGGTGTGCAATAACAGGAAACTGGAATCGGAAGCAGAGCTGGGACTCAAATTCAGGTACTCTGATAGGAGACAGAGGGGTCCTCACCCGTGTCTTAACTACCAGACCAAAGGCCTGACACTGACAACACTTTATCAGCCTCCTTTTAAATGATCTTCCCTCCTTCTTCACCAGGTGGAGCTATGTTACAGGACTATGTCTCAGTATTTATTCCAGGTTCTTGTCCCTGCAGAGGAAGGAATTTGAAGCAGAGGCCTAAGTAGGGCACACAGGTGAGAACAGGATTTATTTTTTTATTTTATTTTATTTTTTTTTGACAGGCAGAGTGGACAGTGAGAGAGAGAGAGAGAGACAGAGAAAAAGGTCTTCCTTTGCCATTGGTTCACCCTCCAATGGCCGCTGCGGCCGGTGCACCGCGCTGATCCGAAGCCAGGAGCCAGGTGCTTTTCCTGGTCTCTCATGGGGTACAGGGCCCAAGCACTTGGGCCATCCTCCACTGCACTCCCTGGCCACAGCAGAGAGCTGGCCTGGAAGAGGGGCAACCGGGACAGAATCCAGTGCCCCGATAGGGACTAGAACCCGGTGTGCCGGCGCTGCAAGGCAGAGGATTAGCCTATTGAGCCGTGGCGCCAGCCAGGTTTTATTTAAAAGTGAGAGAGTGGATGCACACTTAGTGTGGGCCACCCACACAGAGAGATCCCTGCCTTGAGTGGGCCAGAGAGTGGCCTACGAGGAGAGAGCATGGGGAGAGGCCAGAGGAGGACAGCAAGGGCAAGAAGCCAAAAAGCACGGAGAACTGCTCCCCCGTGTAGCAGCCCCCTTTACGGGGGAGGCAGTGGTGCCCTAATTGAGCGTACACCCGGGGTGGAGTTTGGGTGGGGTTTTGTGTGTATGAGTCTTTCTGGGAGTTTCTGGCATGTTTAGAAGAGCAAGGCCATCTTCGAGAGCTCTCTCTAAAAGGATTGGGTTTTACAGGCAGATACAGGCGTTGCAAGGTGCAGTCAGATTCCTACGAAGTAATTTGTGTTCACCAAAGACCTCGACTCTCTTTGGCAGGGCTTGTTCCTGCTCTTGCATTTTCCCAGTCCCAGGCTTCCCATAGAGAATTTGAAGCAGCAACACCCAGGTGTCTTTTCAGGGACACTCAAGTCGCAATGGACTTGGGAAGCAGAAAAACAGGACAGGCCACAGAGGAGGTGTCTCGGAGCCCTGTCACCTGTGGAGTGACTGAGTTTTTCCCACAACAATCCTCTTCCCTCCCCTCCAACATGCTCATTTGCCCTTGCTCAAGGTCACAGGAAGCCATAAAGGAAAGGTCACAAGAATGGGGACCCCAGTGTTCCCAGCAGCTTATTCTGTGATAGCAGAAAGTGTGCTTCCTGGCCCCGCGTGGCCGCTGATGCATGTGGGCAAGTAGCTGACCTGCCTGGAGCCTCCGTTTCCAGAGGAGGGACGTGAGGAGGTTGCATGCTCTGGGGTCAGATTCATGGGATTTAAATCAAGGGAAGCTACGAGGTGAGGCCGTGTGGTGGGAAGAAGCCGCTTGGGTTCTGGAGTCAGGGATGGTGGGGTTGCAACCCTGGGCCTGCTGCTTGGTTTCTGGAATCAGGCATAGCAGGGCTGCAACCCTGGGCCTGCTCCTCCTTAGCTCTTTGGCTTTGGGCAAGTGACTTTAATGTCCCAGGGCCTGGGCATCCTCACCTGTGGAGCAGGAATGGTGATGGGCTCTGGTGGGCAGCTGGGCAAAGTGTCTGTAATTAGATATTGTGAAGCACAGGGAGGAGAGCCCAGGGACTGCCTGGGGAGAGAAAGGGCACCGTCAGCATGAGTGGTCAGCATGGATGATCAGTGTGGTGGTCTGCATAGTGGTCTGCATGGTGGTCAGTGTGGTGGTCAGCATGGATGATCAGCATGGTGGCCAGCGTGGATATCAGCATGGGTGGTTAGCATGGTGGTCAGCGTGGGTAGCCGGTGGTCAGTGTGGGTGGTCAGTGGTGGTGTTTGGAGAAGCTGACTACCTTGACAGGTGCAGCTGAGCCTGGTGAATGAGCGAGACTTTGAGAAGCTGCTCTGAGGATGGCATTCCCAGGAAGAAGAACGTGTGGAGATGGAGATTTCCATCCAGAGGTTGCTGGGTCATTCTGGAATGCGACTACAGGAACAGCTAGACAATCTGAAACTGCTGAGAATGTCTAGCCCCACCAGAGATGGACGGGTTTGCCTTGGGATGCCATGAGGGCTGGGCCTGCCTGCCTGCCATCCTGGGCTCTGGGCCCCCATGTGGCCCATGTGAATCCTGGGTCTCTGGGTGAGTCTGGGGCTCCTGGACTGCCCCTAGTCCAGGTTGTGCAGTGCACAGTCTGGGTGGTGGGTCTGAGTGGTGGCGCTGTCTCTGCTTTTCCAGTGCGCAGGTCCAAGGCGGCAGATGAAGAGAGGAGCCGCCGAGCCCAGCGTGCCCGGGACGAGTACCGACGCCACTCGCTCCGTGCCATCCAGAAGGGCATGGTCGCTGGCCTCAGTTCCATGTTCCAGGAGCTAGGCCAGAGCCACGAGCAGGAAGCCAGACTCTACGACCACCTCCCGGGCCCGGGCCCGCCTCCGTCGCTTGCTACGCCTGTCCGGTGAGTCAGAGGCACCGTGCAGTGTGGCTGGAGCAAACAACAGTAGGATTCCAGTCTGGGCTGTGTCCCGGCTGTTTGGGGCTTGTCGTATCTCCCCTATGGGCCTCAGTGTCCCAGTCTGTATTAAGGGGTAGGAGGTAGATGGAGTGTAGTGGGTTCAGATGTCTCTCGTAGCTTGAGAGTTGTGAGAATAATCTTAACCATTTTGGGGTTGAGGCTTCCTCTGAGACTCTGAAGAAAGTTGTACGCCTCTTTTCCTCCAGATGTGCATGTGTAAATACCACCAGTGTTTGCCTTCAGTTTTACACACTTAAAGAGTCATGGAACCCCAGCTTAAGAACTTGTAATGGAAGAACTCAAACAGCTTAAATGTGGCCTGGTGACCTGCGGACCAGGGCTTGCAGCCTTTTGTAACCACGGTGGCACGGGGTCACCCCCAGCTCCAATGGCAGGGCTGCAGAACAGCACTGATTAAGGGCAGGAGGGCCCTCACACACATTTGTGCTCCCGAAGGGTTTGGTTGGCGAGTTGCTTGGGTGACGGCCCGTTATTGGCCACGCTGAAGGTTGAGGGGTCACTGGGAGCCACTCCACCTTCCACCTGTCCCCACCTCAGGCCAGCACTGAGGTCTGATTCCTCTCCTCTCCTGTCCTCCGTCCCTCTATTATCATTCAGTAACCACTGCCCTGAGCAAGGATCCAGAAATGGTGGATCATCCCTAACTACAGGTAACCTTTGGAAGAATCAGTTCACCCCTAGGTGATGGGGGACTGTCTGAGTTTGCTTGGATTGTGATTTTTTAAAAAAAAATTTATTTATTTATTTAAAAGAGTTACACACAGAGAGAAGGAGGGGCAGAGAGAGAGAGAGAGAGAGAGAGAGAGGTCTTCCATCTGCTGGTTTACTCTCCAGTTGGCCACAACAGCCAGAGCTGTGCCAATCCGAAGCCAGGAGCCAGGAGCTTCTTCCAGGTCTCCCAGGTGGGTGCAGGGGCCCAAGGACTTGGGCCATCTTCTACTGCTTTCCCAGGCCATAGCAAAAAGCTGGATTGGAAGTAGAGCAGCTGGGTCTTGAACCGGTGCCCATATGGGATTTCAGCACTGCAGAGGGCAGCTTTACCCGCTACACCACAGCGCCAGCCCCAGATTGTGATGTAAAAAAAAAATTATTTTGTTTATTTGAAAATTGGGGCCGACACTGTGGCACAGCGGGTTAAAGCCCTGGCCTGCAGCGTTGGCATCCCATATGGATGCTGGTTCTAGTCCCGGCTGCTCCTCTTCTGATCCAGCTCTTTGCTATGGTCTGGGATAGCAGTAGAAGATGGCCCAAGTCCTTGGGCTCCTGGACCCATGTGGGAGACCCAGAAGAAGCTCCTGGTTCCTGGCTTAGGATCGGTGCAGATCCGACCATTGTGGCCATCTGGGGAGTTAACCAGCGGATGGAAGACCTCTCTCTCTGTCTCTACCTCTCTCTGTAACTCTGTCTTTCAAATAAATAAAATAAATCTAAAAAACAAAAAAAGAATTACAGAGAGAGAGAGAGAGAGAGAGAGAGAGATCTTCCATGTTTCATCCGATGGTTCACTCCCTAAATGGCTTCAACTGCTGGGACAGCACTGCCCTGAGGCCAGGAGCCAGGAGCTTCATCCAGGTCTCCCATGTGGGTACAGGGGCCCAAGCACTTGGACCATCTTCCACTGCTTTCTCAGGTGCATTTGTAGGGAGCTGGATCAGAAGTGGAGCAGCTGGGACTTGAACCGGCACACATATAGGGTGCCTGGGTCACAGATGGCAGCTTTACTGGCTATGTCACAGTGCTGGCCCTATGGCTTGTGATTTGAGGGTATTCACAAACTTCTTCTCCCTCCTCTGCTGTCTAGGGAGAGCTGGCCCTGTCTTCATTTCTCACCTGCCTTTCTCCCACCTTCCTTCTAGTTAGGTATTATTCCCAAACCAGAAAGTTTGAAAAGATATAGGGGGCTGGCACTGTGGCACAGTGGGTAAAGGCACTGTCTGCAGTGCTGGTATCCTATATGGGCATTAGTTCAAGACCCAGCTGCTCTACTTCCAATCCAGCTCTCTGCTATGGCCTGGGAAAGCAGTGGAAGATGGCCCAAGTCCTTGGGCCCCTGCACCCATATGGAAGACACGGAAGAAGCTCCTGGCTCCTGGCTTCGGATTGGCACAGCTCTGGCTGTTGCAACCAACTGGGGAGTAAACCAGTAGATGGAAGACCCCCCTCCCCCCACCGCCTCTCCTTCTCTCTCTGTGTAACTCTGACTTTCAAATAAATAAATAAATCTTAAAAAAAATAGAATGGAAAGTGGTAGAAGACTCCAAACACTGGCTCAAGTGAACTTCATATATTCATGCAGTAATCTAGCCACATTCTCTTAAAAAAAAAAAAAAGGAAGCTATTGGATGGTAATTCAAGAAGTTTGAAACTCACGCATAGTTTTTAAAAGTAATATATGTTTTCTGTGAACTTTTTGAAGTTTCCTGGCACTGTGCTGAGAAAAATCCAGCTCCCTCCCTATTTTCCATCTGTCCAATACTCTTTGCCCACAAAGTGGTGATGCTCCCTGCTCCTCATGTGATCCCCCACCTTGTTTCTCTTTTCAACTGCTGATGTGACAAGTCTTATTCCCCCTTCTCATTTTTTATATGAAAGTTTGCATATTATACATGGGGTTGCATCTTGATTTTTTTCCCTCCATTTAGCTATTTTTTGAAAATCTTCCTAGCAACTCTTAGCTTATTTATTTTTTACTTTTTTTGTTGTTGTTTTTTTTAACTTTTATTTAGTAAATATGATTTTCCAAAGTACAGTTTATGGATTACAATGGCTCCCCCCCCATAACTTCCCTCCCACTCGCGCCCCTCCCATCTCCCGCTCCCTCTCCCATTCCATTCACATCAAGATTCATCTTCAATCATCTTTATATACAGAAAATCGATTCAGTATATATTAAGTAGATTTCATCAGTTTGCACCCACACAGAAACACAAAGTGTAAAATACTGTTTCAGTGCTAGTTATAGCATTACTTCACATTGGACAACACATTAAGGACAGATCCCACATGAGGAGTAAGTACACAGTGACTCCTGTTGTTGACTTAACAATTTGACACTCTTATTTATGGCATCAGTAATCTCCCTAGGCTCTAGTCATGAGTTGCCAAGGCTATGGAAGCCTTTTGAGTTTGCCGACTTCGATCTTATTCAGACAGGGACATAGTCAAAGTGGAAGTTATCTCCTCCCTTCAGAGAAAGGTACCGCCTTCTTTGATGGCCCCATTCTTTCCACTGGGATCTCACTTGCAGAGATCTTTCATTTAGGTCTTTTTTTTTCCCCCCCAGAGTGTCTTGGCTTTCCATGCCTAAAATACTCTCATGGGCTCTTCAGCCAGATCTGAATGCCTTAAGGGCTGATTCTGAGGCCAGAGTACTGTTTTGGACATCTGCCATTCTATGAATCTGCTGTGTATCCTGCTTCCCATGTTGGATTGTTCTCTCCCTTTTTGATTCTATCAGTTAGTATTAGCAGACACTAGTCTTGTTTGTGTGGGGAGCAACTCGGACTAGACTAAGTTACTGGAATTAAGACTTATTCTATGCATCTGCTCTCCCACAATATGGCGCTGAGAAGGGAGAAACAGCTTCTACACAGCTGCCTCCAGTTCAACCATAAACTGTAGGACCTACTCCTGATTGGAGGAGAGCAGCGTACTCGGCGTGTGGGTAGCAGAGTTGGGATTGGTGGAAGAGGACTATAAAGGAGGAGAGAGACGGCATGCACCAGGAACATCTAAGGGGAACATCTATCTGAAGGAACACCTGTGCAGCCCCCGAGAGAGCCGGCCGGCGGTGTGCCGCTCCCCCGCGGAAGTGGGGAATGTGGCAGGGGGAACCGCCCTTCCATGGAGGTGGAAGGGACAGCAGCCAACCCGGGAAGAACCAGCAGCAAACCCGGGGAGGGCCGAGCAGACAAAAGAACAGCGCAGGGTCCTGTGTCGTTCCTCCACGAAGAGGGGGAGCGACATGTTTGTGTGATCCCTTTGACTCTTAGACCTATCAGTGTGATCAATTGTGAACTGAAATTGATCACTTGGACTAGTGAGATGGCATTGGTACATGCCACCTTGCTGGGATTGTATTGGAACCCCCTGGTATGTTTCTAACTCCACCATCTGGGGCAAGTCCAATTGAGCATGTCCCAAATTGTACATCTCCTCCCTCTCTTATTCCCACTCATATATATATATATATATAGACAGGCAGAGTGGACAGTGAGAGAGAGAGACAGAGAGAAAGGTCTTCCTTTTGCCGTTGGTTCACCCTCCAATGGCCACCGCAGCCAGTGCACTGCGGCTGGCGCACCGTGCTGATCCGAAGCCAGGAGCCAGGCACTTATCCTGGTCTCCCATGGGGTGCAGGGCCCAAGCACTTGGGCCATCCTCCACTGCACTCCCTGGCCACAGCAGAGGGCTGGCCTGGAAGAGGGGCAACCGGGACAGAATCCGGTGCCCCGACCAGGGCTAGAACCCAGTGTGCCGGCGCCGCAGGCGGAGGATTAGCCTATTGAGCTGCAGCACCAGCCCCCACTCTTATATTTAACAGGGATCACTGTACAGTTAAATTTAAACACCTAAGAATAATTGTGTGTTAATTACAGAGTTCAACCAATAGTACTAGAACAAAAAAAAATACTAAAAGGGATAAAGTATTAAATGGTACATCAACAGTCAGGACAAGGGCTGATAAAGTCACTGTTTCTCATAGTGTCCATTTCACTTCAACAGGTTTCCCCTTTGGTGCTCAGTTAGTTGTTGCCGATCAGGGAGAACATATGATATTTGATCCTTTGGGACTGGCTTAATTCACTCAGCATAATGTTTTTCAGATTCCTCCATTTTGTTACAAATGACCGGATTTCATTGTTTTTGACTGCTGTATAGTATTCTATAGAGTACATGTCCCATAATTTCTTTATCCAGTCTACTGTTGATGGGCACTTGGGTTGGTTCCAGGTCTTAGCTATTGTGAATTGAGCTGCAATAAACATTAATGTGCCAACAGCTTTTTTGTTTGCCAATCTATTTTTTACTTTTTTAAAGAGATTTTATTTATTTATTTGAGAAGTAGAGTTAGAGAGAGAGGAAGAGACAGAGAGAAAGGTCTTCCATCCACTGGTTCACTCCCCAAAAGGCAGTATGGAGCTGGGTAGATCCAAAGCCAGGAGCCAAGAGCTTCTTTCAGGTCTCCCATACAGGTGCAGGGGCCCAAGCACTTGGGCCATATTCTACTGCTTTCCTAGGCCATAAACAGAGAGCTGGATCAGAAGAGGAGCAGCTGGGACATGAACCGGTGCCTATATGGGATTCTGGCACCATAGGTGGGGGCTTGGCATACTATGCCACAGCTTGGGCCCCTATTTTTTTCCCTTCCTTCCTTCCTTCCTTCCTTCCTTCCTTCCTTCCTTCCTTCCTCCCTCCCTCCCTCCCTCCCTCCCTCTCCCTCTCTCTCTCTCTCTCTCTCTCTCTCTCTCTCTTTCTTTCTTTTCTTTTCTTTTCTTTTCTTTCTTTCACAGCTGTATAGCTGCATGGATGTGCTGTAATTTGCATATTAAAAACTATTCATGGACAATGGTGCTGTCTCAACTCTTTGGTTATCACTAACAGTGTGCTTAATGCATAACCTTTGCTGTTTTATACACATAGCTATTATCTGCAAAAGAAATTCCCAAGAGTGGGATGACTGGGTCAGGGGCTGTGTACACTGAAAATACTGACAGTGGTCATCAGCTTGCCCCACCCCCGCATAATGTTGGTGCCAACTCATGGTCATCTCAGCCTTGCCAATAGTGTGAGAAATAACCTCTTCGGGCAAGTTTAAACCTGCATTTCTACTCATGAGAGAGACTAAGCGTGAGTGTATGTCTAAGGGCCATTGCTATTTCCTCATGAGTCTGCTCATCCTCTATCCATTTTTTTTTGTGAGGTTGGTCTTGTCTTTATTGTTATCCAGGAACTCCTGAAGTACTAGGGCAGAGGATCCCTTTGTGATAAACAGTTTTTCTCAGGTTGTCATCTCTCTTTTGACTTTTGTGATGCGATTTTCTGGCATGCAGAAATTCTGGATTTTCCTTTTTATGACGTCAAATTTTCTCTTCTGTTTTCTGCGTTTTGGTGCATACTTACAAAAGCCTTCTCCTAGGGGCCACGCTGTGGCCCAGCAGGTTAATGCCCTGACCTGAAGCGCCGGCATCCCATATGGGCACCGGTTTGAGACCTGGCGGTTCCACTTCCGATCCAGCTCTCTGCTATGGCTTGGGAAAGCAGTGGAAGATGGCCCAAATCCTTGAGCCCCTGTACCCATGTGGGAGACCAGGAGCAAGTTCCTGGCTCCTGGCTTTGGATCAGTGCAACTCTGGCTGTTGCGGCTAATTGGGGAGTGAACCATTGGATGGAAGACCTCTCTCTCTCTGCCTCTCCTCTCTCTGTGTAACTCTGACTTTCAAATAAATAAATAATAAATAAATAAATCTTAAAAAAAAGCCTTTTCCTCCTTCTGTGCTTTGAAAAAGAAATCTGTGATTTGTCCCTGGGGCCCGTGTGATGGAGCCTCATGGACCATGGTGCAGCCTGGCTCCAGGTTGGCTGTATGTAGGCAACAGGGGAGCAATGGCTTCCACAGTGGGCCTCAGCCAGGCCCCAGCACAAAAAGAGTCACTCATCTGCTTCCCTCTTCTGGCCGTCCCATGGGACACGTCCCTGTGGCCTCACTGCTGTCAACGCTGTGGCACTGGCCATGTCTAGCAAACCCTTGTGTGTGGTGCAGCGTGAACACACACTGCTGATAGGAAGAGCTCCATGTGCCCCTCTCCTCTAGCATTTATATTCTGGGAAATCAAACTCCCTGCTCAGAAGTCCTCTGCTTAGGAGCAAATTCAAATTCACTGTTAGAAACAGAGGGACAAGAGGGAATGAGCTTTCCTGGCTGTTATTTATAACCTCCTTTTGCCTTTTAAAGAGACTGAGTCCTAGAAACATGAGGAATTTTCCCCTTGAGCACAGGGATTTTTTGGGGGGAATGCAAATGCAGAGGAAGAGGCTGGGTGGAGCAGGTGCTTCCTGGTGCTGGTTAGTAAAGAGGAAAGGCATCTGAGGATACTCAGAGGGGATGGGGGACCCCAGGGAGGACACAGTGGAGAGTAAGGCCTGTTGGAGGGTTACAGGGACAAAGCCAAGTCTAGAGAGGTAGTGAGGGGGAAGACAGGCCTTGGAAAACAAGCTTGGGGCTTTAACTTGTGCAATGTAACCTCACCTCTGTCTTTCTTCCTCCTCTTCCTTCTTTTCTTCCTTCTCTCCTTCTTTCAATTTTTTAAAAAGTTTTCAAAAGGCATAGTTAGAGAGAAGGGAGAGAGGTCTTCCATCTGCTGGTTTGCTCTGCACATGGCCACCACAGGTTGGGCTGGACCAGACCAAAGCCAGGAGCCAGGAGCTTCTTCTGGGTCTCCCACGTGGGTGGCAGGGACCTAAGCACTTGGGTCATTTTGTGCTGCTTTCTCAGGCACACTAGCAGGGAGCTGGATTTGAAGTGGAGCAGCCAACACAGGAACTGGCGCCTGTATGGGATGCTGGTGTTGCAGGAGGTGGCTTACCCAGCTGTGCCGTAACTCTGGTCCCTTGCCTTTCTTCTGAAATCTTCCTTCCCTGAACTCTACAGCATTCACTACTGTTTGTGTGCATGTGTGCACACATCTATGTGTAATCAGATTCATCATAGGACAAGTGAAAATATGCAAGGAGCTTCCTTCAGGGGCTTGCTGGGCAGGGCTCAGCTCAGTATGCAAGTGCTGACCTGGAGACAGCGTGAGGGGACAGCTGGCATTTGTTTTATTAAAAAGACAATGATGACAGAGGTGAATTCAGGATGCCAGTACGAGGAGGTGGTGGCAATGACAAAATAAGCATTTATGAGGTTTCTGTCATTCAGTTGGAGGTAGCAAAGAGGTTCTGATTGTTCAAGGTAGGTCATGGCTGTGGCTGTTCAGAGGTTGTATTTCCACACCATATATTGCTGCAGTGTGGATTCATTCAACAAATGGTAGTTGAATGTTTGTAATGTGTCATATGCTGTCAGACTCTTTGAGTGTAACCCAAATATAGCGGGGGTCTTATGTGGCCCAGTCTCTGTTGGAATTCATGAACCATAGCTCAGACACAAAGCAATAAGAATCTTGGTGCATATGAAAAAACTTCAAAAAAAATCAAAAGTGCATCAAGTTAAGCCACTGCCTATGACACTGGCATTCCATATGAGCATCGGTTTGAGTCCCAACTGCTCCACTTCTGATCCAGCTCCTCGCCAATACACCAAGAAAGCAGCAGAAGATGGCCCAAGTGCTGGGTCCCTCCATATGGGAGACCTGGATGGAGTTCCATACTTCTGGCTTCAGCCTGGCCCAGCCCCAACCATTGCAGCCATTTGGGGAGTGAACGAGTGGATGGACAATCTAACTCTCTTTGTCAATCTGTCTCTCAAATAAATAATCTTTAAAAACAAATAAAAAGCTATTTCTTAAGAAAAATGTGTACAGTTCATCTCCTAGATTCTTCACGTGTTCTCACTCATCTCTGGGTCTCCAACCCAGGGTTCCTCGTCCACTGTCAGCTGATGTACAGTTTAGTTCCCTCCCTTCTCCGACTCCCATGTCCTGTCTTTTTTCATGTCCTGAGTGGGGGATTGCAGTCATTTCCAAGGCAGATTGGGGTTCCCTGCTTTCTCCCTGTCTGTTCCCAGTCCTGACTCTGCCTCACAAAAGCCTGGGAGCTGGCAGAGGCAGGAGAAGCGGAGATGGGCGAGGGTAGGGACACTCATGTTGATAACTTGTTCCTGTTCCATCAGGATCCGTCTTCACTGAGGCTGATATTTATGTCCTGGCTATTTGCAAAGAAAAAAAAAGTCTTTTCTTTCCCTCAGTCATCTGTTCCTAGCCTCTTTTCCCTCCCACCTGTGTGGCTTTTTTGGAAGTAAGTGGTAACAGTTTTCTTTTGGGAAAAATAATAACAGCTGGTCCATTATAATCTGCAAAGTGCCTTCAAGTACCTGGGCTCATTGAATCCTCTCCATGGACCTGAATGTGGACTTCATGCTTATTCAATGCTCTCAATGGCCCTCCCTGTCTCCCTTTCTCTCCTCTCCCTTCCTGACTCCCCCACACTACTCCCTACCTCCCTCCTTGGCAGGACTTGGGAGCGTCCACTGCGTCCTGTCTCCACGGAGATCATCGTCCGCTGGTTTAAAGAAGAGCAGCTGCCTCGCCGCGCTGGCTTCGAGAGAAACACCAAATGCATCGCCCCCTGGTTTCATGGTAGGAGCACTTTCCAGGCCCTGGGCAGGTGATGGCCATGCCTCTGCCAGTCTCTGGAGTTGGGGGAGGGTCTAAAAGGCTGTGATAATCAGAGGTAGAGACTTTAGACCCCACACTCTGTCCTGGAGCAGGAGCTGGGTGACAGGAGGCCCCAGGGATGAGGAGTGAGACCTTGCTCTTTGTTCTGGGAAGGGATGAGAGGCATCCTGCCCACTGTTCCCGCCACACGCCTCTGTGGCTGCCGCAAGCCCCCGTCTTTGTTCATTTTCTGTTACTATAACAAAATACCTTAGACCAGGACATTTATAAGAAACAGAAGTTTGTTTCGCTCATGGTTCTGGAGGCTGAGAATTCCAAGAGCACGGCGTGAGTCTCTGTCCTGTGCCTGGCGAGGGCCTCTCGCTGCATCCTAACATGGCAGAGGGTAGCACATGGTGAGACAGAGCAAATTACTAGTGTGGGTCTCCCTTCTTCCTCCTGGAAAGCCACAAATGCCACCCTGCAGGGTCTTCCCTCATGACCTCATCTCATAGTAATTACTTCCCAGGCCTACAACTCCAAGCTCATGACTTGGGAGATGAAGCTTCTCACCCGTAAAAGTCACAGCAGCTCCTCCAAGGCATCAAGGCCTCATCTCTGTGCTCACAGGACAATGAGTTCTCATTGGGCCAGAAGCTCCTGGTGGGCTGGACCCATGTTTTGGTGTCTGACCCTGCATCCCCAGATCCTGGCTGCACCCTGGCCCACTGCAGGCTCCGAGCAAGTGCTTGTTGGTTGAATGAAGAGATCAGAGGCATCTAAAGAGAACATCAGAGCTGACAGCCTCCTTGGAAGTCTTCATTTCACAGATGGTAGAACTGCAGCTCAAAGAGAGGAGGAGGTTTATAAGGTCACCAAGAGACTTAACAAAGTCAAGTTCAAGAATCTCTTAAAACCCAGAACCCAGTCAAGTGATATGAACACACAAACTTCCAAACAGGGAAATGGGACTGTGACTTCAGCAGAGACTTGAGGCAGGGATATAGGAGTGGCTGCTGGCCACCCGGTCCCCTCTGGGTAGTTAGCTATTGCTGTAGAACAACGCACCCCAAAATGCATTCCACTAAAGCAAATAAGCACTTGGAGTTTTTTCATGAGTTTTAAAATCAGCTGGGCAATTCTTCTAGTCAGGGTCAGGCTCAGATGATCTTGGCTGAGCTTGGTCATGTGTGTCTGGGCAGCTGGAGGTCAGTTGAGGACTGGCTGATCCAGGATGGTCTCTGCTGAGACATTTTCCTTCTGCTACACATCCTGCAGCAGCCGGACCCAGACTGTCCGGTTTCTCTGGATAAACTCCATCCTAGCGTTGCTCTCTGAGCCTTTCCCCTTCACCAGCAGGGAGCTCAGGTTTGTCTGGGACCCTGTGGCTGCAACAGTTCTCTCCTGGCACAATTAGCATCATCTGACCCTTACCTGCCTCTGTTTCCCTCTAGCCAGTCTCCTGGAGCTTGCTTGGCCTCTGTCTTCATCTATGTTTCTCCTAGTGGTGTGCACTGTCAACCTCCTGCCTGGCCAGCTTCCATGTGTTCTCAGTTCCATCCAGATAACAGATGAGTGCACTAGAGACCTGGACCCTAAGAATCAATACACAGCTGGAAGAGAGAATCCTTCCTGGGCAAGCTCTGGGCATGGCTCTGACTATAGGAAAGGCTGCAGGAGTCTTAGAATAGATCACACAGGGTGAGCAAGGCCATCTGTACCTTCATCCCCACCTCCAGGAGCCCCACAAGCCTGGGAACTGTGGAGCGCAGGCAACTGTCCCCTGTCCAGATGACACAACTGAGAGGCAGCACTGTAAGGACCTCACAGGGTCACAGAGGTGGTGACGCCACCCAGTCCAAGCTGCAGGAGTGTCCACATGGGCCTGTCCCCTCTGTACTCTGACCTTCACACATCATCCCAATCTTTTGATATAAACCAGATCCATCACTCCCCTGTTCCCTTTACACTTGACACGGACTCCAAGGTCCATACTGGGCCCCACAAGGCCCCAGGCGATGGATTAGCTTCCCATTCCAGCCTCGTGCCAGAATTCTCTCCTGCCCAGCTTGCTCACAAAGCCTGACCTTTTTTTCTGTTCCCTAAATGAGCTACCCTTTTTCATCTCGTATACCTTGCAATTATTGTTGCTATCTTCCCCCAGCTCTCTGCATGGCTGACACATTCTCATTTTTCATCTCAAATATCCCCTCTCCAGAGAGAGATCTTTCCTCAACCCCTTCCCTAAATAGGTCTTCTCCAATTTCTCTCCACTCACCCCATTGATTTCCTGAAGAGTACCCATCCAGTGGATACTTGTTTTATTTGCTTATTGTCTGCTCTCCTGCCTGAATGAAGGCGGTGAGGCTAAGGACCCTATCTGTTTTACTTGGTGCTAGCCACAGTAAGTGTCCATGGGAGGAACGGATGAAGGTAGGGATGAAGTGTCAAAGCTGGGATCAGATCCCAAGCTTTCTGATTCCAGCAAACAACCTTGATTCTCTGCACTAGGCCTTGGTAGATGTGTGAATCTCGTGACCTGGAAGCAATCAGAAAATCCAGACCCACATGTGAGAAGGTTCAGCTGGCTTCATGCGGTGGCTATGTACTCAGTGGAGCTAAGGTCCTATGTTTTAGGCATTTCTGTGTTCAGCTGTCACCTGTGCTTCCTACCTGGCCTGGAGTCAGGTGCAGAAACACATCCAAGATGAACTCACCACCTTTCCCTGTTGCTGCTATTGTTGAGCCCACCAGCTCAGTCCACAGCATCCCATGTGTTGGTCAGCAAAGACTTTGTTACACCTCAGAACAAATGCATCCAAGGTCTCTGACTTCTACCAATGGAGGTTTTGTTTCTTTTTTTTTTTTTTTTTAAATATTTACTTACTTACTTACTTACTTATTTGAGAGGGAGAGAGAGAGAGAGGGAGAGAGAGAGAGAGAGAGAGAGAGATGGAGAAACAGAGCTTCCACCTGCTGGATCTTTCTCCAAATTCCCGTAATGGCTGAGACTGGGCCAGGCCAAAGTTTGGAGCTGGGAACTCAATCCAGGCCTTTCACATGGTGGTAGGTACCCAGCTCCTTAAGCCATCACCCACTGCCTCCCAGAATGCACATTAGCAAGAGGGTGGAATTGGGAATAGAAACAAGACTCCCAGGCACCTTGTTATGGGATGTGGGGCATCCAATGGATCATCTTTTTTTTTTTTTTGAGATTTATTTATTTATTTAAAAAACAGAATTACAGAGAGGGAGGGAGAGGGAGAGGGAGAGGGAGAGGGTGAGGGAGAGGGAGAGGGAGAGAATCTTCCAGCTACTGGTTCACTCCCTAAATGGCTACAACGGCAGGAGCTAGGTCAGAGCTTGGCCATTCTGAGTCTCCCATATGGGTATAGAAACCCAAGTATTTAGGACATCCTCCTCTACTTTCTAGGTGCATTAGCAGGGAGCTGGATTGGAAGTAGAGCAGGAGGGACTCTAAAAGGCACCCAGATGGGATGTGTTGTTGCAGGCAGCAGCTGTACACCTGTCCCCAAGGTTTATTTCTTACCACATATCACATGCCCATTGGGAACTAGTTGCAGAATTTAACCTGGGTCTCAGACAGAAGGAACTTCCTCTATTGGAAACTTGAGGATTCATGGCCAAGGTAGGGGCAGACCTTGGTGAGCCACAGCCGGGCCTCTGAGGCCTCTGTTTGGAGCTGACACATGTCACTGTTGCTCACTTTTCATTGGCGCTGGGCGGCTGTGAATGACAGTGGAATGGATCATAGCTACCATTCACTTTCAGATCACTTCCTTTTCCCAGGCACCCACAAAAGGATGGAGTGGCTGTCTGTGGCTCAGAGGGAAGACAGTCAACACTCAGGGGCAGCTGTGCCTGTGTCCCTGGAGCTGGTGGCAGGGATTCCTTGCCCTTCACGAGTGCCCTACAGCATGTGATAGAGCCTTCATTTAAAGCACCACTTTCCTTGTCACTCATGCATTATTATGGCCGTGGAAGCACAGCATAGCTTCCTGGGCACCTGCTGAGGGCAACTCCATATCCTGTGGAGGTGGGGCTCTGGCAGCTGCTCCAACCGCACCGAGGAGCTGACGGGGAGGGTGCAGCAGAGGGGTTCACATTTATCTTTAGCTTTATTCTCTACCAGGATGGGAAAAAAGTTAATTTTTATATTGTCACCAAACAAACAGAACCAAAATTTAAATCTCACAATTTATGTAACTGATTTCATGTTCTTCTGACAGTTGTACCATAAAGCATGCAGAGATGCTGCTCTTACATAGAATGGAGCTATTTAGTGACCAAGTTTTTACTGATTGGTGACAGAGTGGAAGAAAAAGGCTCCCATATGGAGGGTGGCCAAGTTTCTTTGTTTAGAAAGAACTGTGTTGTATCCTCAGAGTGTATCCTTGCCTCAGCTTTAGTGTTTAAATGTCCTATCTCTATTAAATTGATGGTGAAAGTAAGCAGTAGTTATTTTTATATATTGCCCTTGCTTGAACAGCAAAAAATTAGCAGCCCTATGTTGGTTCCCCAAGACTTTTTTTTTTGTAGCTTTATTCATTCCTGAAATCCCAAAGTCTAGAGCAACTGGTATGGTTCATCTTCTCTCCTATTGGAAGAATTCATAATGGGGAGGGAATAACACACCCTCTGTACCAATTCTTAGAGAGGCAGGAAGCACACACCCCACAGGCCACCTAGAGCAGTGTAGGAGCTTTTGCTGTAGGTGGAAGGGAGCTCTGCTCTCTGCTGGCATAGCTGGGCATCTGAGCTGGAGCAGCTCTGCTCCTCCCAGAACCCATGGGCTAGTTCAAGCATGCCTTCCTCATGGCAACAGCACAGGTCCCCGAGAGCAGCTGGCAGCGCATGAGGCTGCGGAAGTCTGGTCTCAGATCCAGCACTCTGTTGTGTCATTGACCACAACGTGTCACAGGGCTGAGGGATGGGAAAATATATTCTTTTTCTTATTAGGA